TTCCTTTTCAGTGGCTTTGTTCCCGTCTCGAATGAATCCACACTAGTGGTACCTGATGGTGACGGAATCGATTTGAATCCATCGGTGAGAAGAGCGAATCGATTTTCAAGCAAGGCGGTATGATTTCTTGTGGAAGAAGTTAGTGCTTGATTGAAATACGCCGTGGCATGCAGAGTTGAAGAAGGCGGTATCCGTTTTCGTCTGGTTGACTGGTGTTGTAACTAGGGTCCCGCTTGAACACTGAAGTTGCCACTAGTACGAGGATGCCGGTGGAGCGAACACTTTAATGAAGTCACCGGTAATTTCAGATGCACTGTAATCAGCTGTTGCATGCACAAACACTTCACTTAGTTGCTCCGGATCGGCAGCGAGCCTTGGCACTCAGCGCTATCCTGACGACGGGAACACTGCTCACATCCGATGAAATTAAGGCGGAGCGATTGCAGCTCATCTGCGAAGAACACTTCCAGCTCGGAGAACATATGACCAACAACACTCACACCCGATGCCGAATCGCATAACGCACGGAAAGTGAAACCGAGGATGAGGTCAGGTGGGAAGTACACTGTGAAATTTGAAGCACGGTTTTGTATGAGTGTTTCGGAGACAACATACTTCTATACTGATGACTTTAAGGGTTCTAGCTAAGGCAGCTCGTTGTCCAATCTGACAGTTTGTGGTGATTGAATACAACTACGTGAGGCAGAGATTTTTGTTTAATCAGCTCAATAGCTTCTGATCGGTTTATGTTGATAGTCAAACTCTGAGTGGCAGAAACAGGAGACATCCCATCTGATTTAAAAGCGGAAGACCAAGACAGATGCGATAGAGCAAAAATGGGACCTGAGTGCAACATACTTTGCGTTAGCCCACACCGACGGATGGCTATTTATTGGGAAACTTGATCGGAGCTCTTAAATTAGAAGTCTGACCCGAAAGGTAACGGGGATTTTCGGGAACCCTAACCGGAGCCTTCGACTCAACCAAAAAAGCGGCGGAGCGTAGAATCAGCGTGGGATCTTCTGGAGACCTGTCACGGAATGCTTTATACTTTGGTTTTAGTGTTTTGTTCGCGAGTGACTTGAGTGTGGACCTGCCGTTCGGGATCGGCTCTGAGCAGTACGCAGTCAACGAGACAGGGGAAATGTGAACCGATTGGGTGCTGTCTAGTTCCATCGTGCGTCCATTGTTCAACTGTGTACGAAGGTATCTTCCACCACCGTGGGGAAGTCACTCCCCTACATCCACACAATGATCGTATTTGACCGGTAAACTGTATCTCTCCCATTTTGAATCACCCAAGTCTACGAAAGAAACTTCGTAAAATAATGATGAAGCGCATCGTCGTTTGTGGGCTGTTTGTTAAGAATGTGCACATTTGCTGTGTGTGGAGCATTGTGCACCAAAACATTCTGAGTTGGATGACGTTAAACCTTCCTCAATCCCATCTTCTTTTTTATTCCGCATAAATTTACGGAAGAGTTGAAGACACACGGGGTAAGTAGAGGCACAGCACTAGACGGAACTTTGCTTCAAAAGGAAACAAACTGTCTAACCCCGCTATGATAATCTGCATGTGCATGTATCGCGAACTGCATGCAATACAAACAAGGTTCATTTCTCCCGGGATTTGTGGCTGAACGGATCGCCAACGAAATACAGTGAACTAGTTTGGTAGGAAGGAGCAGTGACAGCAGCCCATCTGGTGCGGAGTAGAAAGACGGATTTGAACAACCCACACAAAAACTAAGAGAGAAAAACGAACACCAGAAACTACGGAATTTACAAGACCCACGGTGTGTGTACGAGGGTAACAGAATTTGCGGTGATAAGGAAGATGTTTAATGTTAAGGACCGGACGGGATAAGACAGGGAGCACCGGATTCTGCAAAGGAAACAAAAAGGAAGATAGAAAGTTGAATATGTGGAAGTGGGACAAAAGAAGTTTCGATGATGATGACGGGTTTAGGTAAGCGAAAAACAGTGACACAGGTCACCAAAAAAATCAAGCAAATAGATGAAGAGCTTAATGCATATTTGGTTGGTTGGTGTATATGTATATACAAGAGAAAAGTAGGGAGCGGACACCAGGACGGGGGTAAACAAATGATCATCAACACTTATTCGTGTGCGTTGTGGAGTATTTAGATCGATCAACTATTGTGCTGGTCGCCGGACTTGAGTAGGAAATGGTCGCATGCACCCGGAGCGCAACGAATGAGACTCGTAAAGAACGGCGCAAAACTGACCCAGCCTTGCCTGATGACAAACTATGCAAGCATTTTATCGGAAGCGATCAGTCCCGGGACAAAAGAAAGATCTGAAAAAACAGTTTGCAAAAAAAGGCAAACGAGTGGGCCGGGTGGGGAGAGGCGGTGTTGATGTGTGCGTTTGATTTGTCCGACAGAGCGGAATGTGACACTGACTTTGGTTGAGGCAGAACTGATTGGGTTGGGGCGCAACCGGAAGAAACGGGACTACAGAAGTGGGAAGCAAGTGGGGGTGTGGCTGATCAAAACAAGCACGGTAGCAATCGTGCATATGTAAGTGTTCGTGCTTCACGACTAGTCCTGTTAACTGAGGAGATCACGAGATTCGAGAGAATGTGAGTACGATATACAGGGTACTATACAGAATAATTATTTAATTGCGAATCCGCACAAAGTTGGACTCAGAAGTTGGCGCCAGTCAAAATCTGGATTGGGCGTGTAGGAGCATACGTTCGGAATGGGAGGATTGACCAGGGTCCAGCGTCGATTTTCCTGCGCAACCACCAGACCACAATATGGGACGCCGGATGTGCGATGGTGAAATTCCGCGGAGGAGATACAGGTGCGGAAACCGTGATGAACCAATTGATGCGTGCATGTGTCCAGCGAAGAGGCGTGCGCGACAATCAAGATGCAAGCGTCTGTAAATAAAGTGAACGATCACAATGATGACGGTGTGAATGCAATAGCTTTGATTATCAAGGGCTTGTACAACACCACAACGCATTGGAGGGCAACATCTCATTGATGGAACGAAGTGAGAAACGAGAGTGAATTGTGAAATATTCAACTACAGTTGACAATATCGGTTATGGATCAGCTAAATAGTCAATAACTTTAACCACATGGATAAGATTGCATTTGACCTGGGAGATTTTGTTGCCGCACCTTGTCACGACCAACTTAGCTTGATTGATTGATTGAGCGAAGTCAATAACAGTCAGGTTCAGTGACTCAAACCATAACGGAACCCGATATACTATCAAGGGCTCCACGTACCGGAACGCCCATCACTTACGACGCAACGGATTACTTCCACCGAATCTCAGAGGACAACGAAGTTCGTTCGGTAGGTCAGGGCGGAGTGGGTACCATACTGAATTACAGGCCTCATGCCTCTCTTAACGATTGCAGTCACGTCTACAGACGTTTATGTGCCATGCGGCTGCAGAGATCGAGCAGCGTCAGGAGGGAAAGCAACAGTAAAAGGTGCTTGTTCATCAACTCAATATTTACTTCGGTCAACTGCAGTTCTGAAACACAAATAAGACAAGTTCTAAGAAAAAATCATCGATCTCATTCAGTTGGGCCGAAGCTCCGATACAGTTGCAGTTGCAGGTGATTTTAACTCGCAGATTGGACAACTGAGGGCAGAGCTTCCAGCGAACAGATAACGACAATCGGCTACTTCAGTTCCGTATAGACTACCATCAGTTTCTGTGCAGTACTAATTTTAGACAAAGCTCTCGATGGATGGTAACGCTGCGCTCCAATTCAACTGGTACGCCAACTCAAATAGACCACAGCAGTAATCTACCTTCGGCGTGGCTCAGCACAAAATTCAAGTTGTCTGGCCCAAAAGTATGGCTATCTTTATCAAACCGAACTCGGTCCGCAACCACTGATGGAGCGGTGATTTAACTTGCAACTGAACATACGTTCTTGCTAATGTTCATTGTAGTGGTGTATAAAAATCGTACGAGCCTTTGCGCACGATATGATTTGGTATGTGTAGTGGGTTTAAGCAATTTTCCGAGCTGATACGGAGCAGACAACAACAACGACAAACGTCCTAATCGGCGGACACAACAATATAGGGGCACACTGTCAATTCCGCCGGGTTGCACTTCATCTGGGGATTCTTGGGATCATCAATCATACAAACACATGGGGAATATTTGTATTTCTGGTATCACGTAACTCGATCGACAAAAAACCCATTCTGAAAGGCATTTGACCTAAACACCCCAGTCTATGCAATTCAGTCTTGGGGTACGCGCGAGAAATGCAGTCATTGTGTACAGAATACGGCCCTACTCCCACACACACACAAACAAAACTTGACTTCTGATGGTACAGACAACATTTGCATGATCATATATGCGATTGAAGTGCTACAATTGAACGAAAGATGGGGAAATTTTGTTTTTGAATAAAAATAAAAAGGGAGACGAAGTCTCGATAGCATTGCCAGTTGAATCAAGCCCCACTGGTCTGAAAATTGCAAAGCTGTTTTGCGC